ACTTCAAAACCATTGGAGTATTGATTTCGCCGCAGATTAATTTTACTAAGAGGTTACTCTGAGTGAAGCTTTATGAAAAACAATTATTGCAATGTTTTCAAACAAAAAGCTTGAGCTTTTTCTATATAATGGAGTGCTACTTCTTGCTATTACTTCTCAAGCGGCTAAAATCAGGTCCCACATGCATTACTATTGGTCATCGTTGTCGGATTGGAGGCTGACCTGGGGCGTACGAGTGAGCACACTACCAAAAAAAGTAATACTCAAGATATACAGTAGCGAGTTTCAGTTGATTCCTCCCTATCTAGAATAATGCTAACGAGAGAGAAGTTGACAGCAAGCCTATGCTAATTTTTTGAATCAGCATCTAGGCAGAAAATGTTAACTCCATCTTTATGCCTGAGAACAACATTGGGACTAGCCTTCGGTTATGGATCCATCGCCATCGGAGTCAAAATTGTGGAATTGCGTTTCGAGCTCTTTCAGGGTTGTACGATGTACTGGTGGACATCGCATATATCGAACAAACTCCTCTTTGCAAATTTTTCCAGACTCTGAAACAAATCTGTGTCCCTTGGGTAAATTTAGGAATAGGAAAGATAGGCTTCTCCAGAAAAATATCGGTAGCCGCAGCTGAATACTAATCATTGCGGCCTTTTTAGTAGAATATGAATAAAAAGAGCCCTTTTTGTTTGAATTAACGCTGCCTTTTCTAAAGTGAAAGGAGTGCGTATGATAAAAAGAAACGCTCGATTATATGGGTAAAAAAATGCCTCAAAGCCTTCTCTTCAGCACAACTCTAGTCTAAAGACACAAAGGTTGCATTATTAGTCGCATTTTCTCAGCAGAGCTAGGAGCTCTTCAAAGCGCTTACCAACCAGTTTTTCTTCGCACCCTGAAAGCAGTCAAGGCGAATCTTTTGGTTTCTCTGCTCTGAGTCACATTGACGAGGATTAGCGCAAAAAGGCACGTTTGGGTGAATGTGTTCGAAAGCGGAAGAACGTATTGAATTTCCAATTCATTGCGTTCGCTGCAATAAGAACTCCAAACCAACACATGAACATATCAGCTAACCAGCATGTTTCGCTAATCAAACATATCATGTCTCTTGCATTTGTAACTGAATGCTAAGTACAACTGCATGTGTAGTTTGCCGTCGAATTCTTTCCCCCGTTAATAACTACGCAAACGTCCGATTCCACGAGCGAAAACGGACGTGACACGTCTCACTGTAGCAGTGAGTCATGTCTGTATCTTTCAAAAAAACTATAGCGTACGATCAGCGTCCATTTCCTTGAAAATGAAGTCGAGTTCAACGCGAGTCGGTTCCACCTTCACAGTTCGTAGAAGGGCCGCAATTTCATTACGTGACAGTCTGCCATCCTTGTCAATGTCGAGAAGGTCGAACGTCTCGGACAGCTCTAAAATGTTAGCAATTGGAAGGTTGATCAATGGCTATTTGTGGCCTAAAGTGTCTGATTGTTAGATTGCTAATTCGCCCTTTCTTAGAGTTTTGTAGATATTGAAAGCACTTTGTATGGGCGTGTGAGGCTGCTGAGATTGCCAGACTTGCAAGATATAATGCCTCAGCGCCCTTGTGGAGATTAGCGATGGTTTTATTTGAATACTTTTTTAGCGCGCCAAAGAAGACAAAGTAAACAAGCATTAAAAGGTCTATAGTCAACCAGCAAAGAGCAGGCAGTCTTAAAAAAGGGACCCGGAATTCGGCTTTCCTACCCTGGAATACCCAGCAAATTACTTAACGAATACGCTTGTAGTTTTCGAGGCGTAACTCTTTCGAAAATTTACTAGGAACTCAGTTTGTGCTAAGGTTCGGTATCCCTTTTCTCACGAGTTATCCCATATACTAAGCTGTATGCTCATCATGTGAGACCACATTTCGTTTCGACTGCGTAGAGATTATTCTTTACTCCCCGGGGAAGTCGAAGCTGGGAACCTGCATCCGAATCGAATTGCTCAGTCGTGCGCACGCAGAAGCACGTCACCGGCATTGTTGTACTTGTCACCTGGTGGCTAATTTCGCTAATTTTTTGATCACCACTTATGAGTAAGAGCAAAACAAAATACATAGATAACAGAAGACTAGAGGTATGCAAAAACTATCACCCACCAGTTTTGGGGCAGATCAGCGCCTAATGACGAGAAACTCGTGTTTTCACTTAGAAAAAACAAAAATTTGCTAGATTTTGTGCGATC